ATTTAATTTTTAAAATGAACAAGTATATATACTGAATTTATTTAATTTTAAAATATTAACATAAAATATTTTTTTTCAATATTTTAGGGGGGGGGCCTGGGCCGCCTGGGCCCCCGCAGGCGCCCCCTTGTCTCCGCCACTGCATAGAAGTACGTGTCCTTCTAGCGTTTCTTTTTCTCAGAACAGGAAGATAGACGGAAGCCGACAGCCTTGTTCTGGCCTGTGATGCACTGCTTCATTTTGCTACGTGGAATGGAGCTATAGAATGTTTCCGGTTAATTTCCAATTGTTTTATAAAAATTGCTGTTTTGGCCGTGCAAATTCCACTTCTTGTTCTATTACACGTCTTTCAGAACTTTGGAAAATAATTTTGTCTCCTCCGGACCAACGCACTTTGAAACAAAACACAAAATAAAATATTCTAAAACTTCGCATCCAAATAGGGGCAAAAACCTACTTTAGCCCTTTTACCTTCATTAATTACCGACGTACTTTGAAACAAAACATAAAATAAAATATTCTAAAACTTCGCATGCAAATAGGGGCGAAAACCTGCACCTGTTACTTCCGCCCAACTGGCACCTGCCAGTTTGAAGTATATTTTCATTTTTTTATAGGTGAATTTGAGTTCGCTCTTTGAAAATTTGATCAAAAAATAAATAAATAAATAAAAATAAAAACCTACTTTAGCCCTTTTATCTTCATAAATTACCGACGCACTTTGAAACAAAACATAAAATAAAATATTCTAGAACTTCACATCCAAATTGGGGCAAAAACCTATTTAGTTTTATTATCTTAATAAATTTATAAGGTTTAATTCTTTGATTTATAATGTAATATTTTTAGTCTTTTATTTTAATAAATTTATAAATTTTAACTCATCACATTATACTATAATATTTTTAACCTTTTATCTATGTGAGTTAAAAAAATAACTTTTATTTAATGTCAGATTATAACCTTTTATTAATTTTATTAATTGATTATTAGTTTTGTTAACTTACTGTTAACTCTATTAATTAATTATTAGTATCTTTTAGTATTTCATTATAGAAAACATGAAATTTAAATTCAATTTTATTTGTTAGTTCTGTTGACATAATGCCAATAAAACACTAACAATCAACTAACAGAGTTAACAGTCAATTAATAAAACTAATATAATGTTATAATTTAACCTTAACTAAGGGTTATTTTTTTTACTCGTGAGGGGTTAAAATTGTTATAATATAAGATAAGAAGTTAAAACCTATATATTTATTAAGATAAAAAATTAAAAGTGTTATAGTATAAAATAAAAAATTAAAACTTATAAATTTATTAAATTAAAGGGTTAAAAATAAGTTTTAGCTGAAAACATAAGTGAGATAACTTAGAAGTATTGACTTTAGTGTAATTTATTGTAAAAAATTTGAGTGACATTGGCGATGACCATTCTTGTTCAACAACTCCCTCGTAATGTCCAAGTTCTGGTAGACCGAATGGCGCTTACGGCTAAG